CCATCTGCCTCTCGTTCAACTCATGTGGTACCCATTTGCCGATCTTCTGAATCTTTCCCATCTCTCGTAGGCGATTGGAAACAGCTTGTTGACTAACGTTAAATTGCTCTGCGAGTTGTTTTTGTGTTTGTGAATCATCTGCGTCCAACAATGCTTGCAACTCTACATCTTCGTATCATTTTGGCGGTTTTCCGTGTTCCTTGTTTGCAACATCGAAATCACCACTTTTGAAACGCCGAAACCATCGTTCACACGTATCTTGCGATGGAGCATGTTTACCATAAGCTTTTCGAAGTAATCGGTATGATTCAGCAACAGTTTTCTTCAAATAAAAACAAAAAATTAATGCTGTCCGCGAATGCTCTTTATTTGGTATAAATTTCGACATATTGAACACAGCAACACAACACTATGTAAACTCTTTTTCAATTTATCACTCTTGCGCGTTTGACACTTGTTGATGACACAACAAAATGGCATAAATGTCAAATCTTTATACCACACACTGCATTGGTGCGCCATCTGTTTTCTCAAATCCGCATTTCATACTTGTACACCTGGTATATAGACACACACATATATATATTATATATAGGGTGGGCCAAATGTATGGATACACCCGAATAAATCTTCACAGCAAGATTTTCGGAAAAAGTGACCTGAACAAAAGTTACTCTGGCCTAAAGGCACTATTTGTTAGTGACCTTAGATTTAACCTTGACCCCAACCTTCAAGGTTATTCAAAGGTCAATTTTGCTTTTTAAATAAAAACATCTATTTTTTATTACGGAATTTTATTCTACATAAAAAAACTAACAACTTTTGTTTGAAAAAAATTTTTATACGATCTCTATTTTCTAAGATATTTACGGAAATATCTACAAAATTATTGGTTTCAATAATTTTTTACTCGAATTCTATCAACTTTACCAAAAAAATAGCAAGAGATAAAAATTGTTTCTTTTTTTCTTATAGAGATTTACTGAGATCTTACTGAGAATTTTTTCAGAATTTTTTAATTAACTTTTTAATACTGCATTTTCTTAAAGTACTAAAAAGTTTATAAAAAATTCTGAAAAAATTCTCAGATCTCTATGAGAAAAAAATAAACAATTTCTATCTCTTACTATTTTTCGGTAAAGTTGATAGTATTAGTATCATTCAAAGACAAAAAGTTGTTAGTTTCTTTACGCAGAATAAAATTCCGTAATAAAAAATAGATGTTTCTACTTAAAAAACAAAGTTGACTTCCGAATAACCTTGAAGGTTGGGGCCAAGATTAAATCCAAGGTCACCAGCAGATAGCTCTTTTAGGTCCGAGCAACTTTTATTCAGATCACTTTTTCCGAAAATCCTGTCTTTAAGATTTATTCGAGTGTATCCATACATTTAGCCCACCCTATGTACACATATTTGTAATATATATACAGGGTGTCTCCATGATGACCTTTTGTGAGAACGTAGAATGGATTGAGGTAAGCAAAAAGTCCGTTTTGCGATATTCGCAATAATAGTCGAGATATTAATTAAAAAAGATTTGTGAATGATCACGCGCAATATGGTAGATGAGCTGCAGTAGCGCCGTCTGCCGTTGTATACGGACATATACATTAAGTCAAACTTAATGTACCAGGTGTAGAAGTATGAAACCGGAATTCCCCTATAAATGGTGCCAGCGTTCAGTTTAGTGACCGTAAGACCGCTACTGCCGCGCTATTATATTCTCCTAACAGCTGACGAATATTGTCAACAAACATAACCCCAACTTTCATTCTCTAGTATATTTTTGTATAACCTTAAACATGTCACGTTTCGAGCCTACTAACTATGATTTGCGGACAGCATTGATTTTCTGTTATCATTTAAAGAAAACTGCTGCAGAATCACATCGAATGCTTGTCGAAGCTTACGGTGAATATGCTCTTGGTAAATCTCAGTGTTTCGAGTGGTTTAAAAAATTCAAAAGTGGTGATTTTGACGTGAGGAACGAAGAACTATGAACTATGAACTATGAACTATGAACTGCTGAAACCTGGTCAAACCGTCAATACTAATCGCTACCAACAACAAATGATCGATTTAAATCGAACATTGACTAAAAAACGACCAGAATATGCAAAAAGGCAACACAATGTCATTTTGCTCCATGATAATGCCCCATCACATACAGCAAAACGGGTCAAGGAAACGATCGAGTCGTTCAGTTGGGAATTACTACCGCATGCGGCTTATTCTCCAGACTTGGCTCCGTCCGATTATCACCTGTTCGCATCGCTAGGACACGCTCTCGCTAACCAACGCTTCGATTCGTATGAAAATGTGGAAAAATGGCTAGATAACTGGTTCGCTTCAAAAGATGAAAAGTTTTTTTGGCACGGCATTCATAAACTGCCAGAGAGGTGGGAAAAATGTGTTCAAAACAGTGGAAATTATTTTGAATAAAGTATTATTTATCACTTTCGAACAACAGACGTCTTATTTGTGTAAAAAAATTCCGGTTTCATACTTCTACACCTGGTATATGTCCATCCTCTACCATTCAACGTGTGTTTTTCCTTAAGCTTTTTTAATTAATATTTCGACTATTATTGCGAATATCACAAAACGGTATAGGACTTTTATGTTCACATCAATCCATTTTATATTCCCACAAAATGCCCGGAGCAGAGTGTGAGACATATATATGTGAGATATATATATATATATATATATATATATATATATATATATATATATATATATATATATATATATATATATATATATATATATATATATATATATATATTATACAATTAATTAAATAGTAATCTCCTTCTGTTCCTAAAATCGAATTTTTCATTTGGTTCCTATACTTGGAGAGCAATTACCTTCCAATTTACGGAACTATCTTTTTCCATACAGATTACAAATCTGATGTGGTTAAGAAGTGATAGTTGGCAATGCCTGCCTCTAAACTACTCACATGAACCAATACCTATGGAGGTAACTGCAAGAATTAAATTAATTAATTTGAATTGATCTAATTAATTAGATATGTTACAACTTACTCCGTACATTACTCCAGCGAGAAGAAAAAGCGTAGTCTCGTTCAATGATTTACGTTTTTTGTCCACTAAATAGATCACCAGAATAGTCTTCTACTACTATTTACTTAAGTTATTTGATTTACTGGATACGGTCTTCTTTATATTTAATAAAAAGCAAAGTCATGTAAGCTTTCTACATGTATATCATCACAGTGGCATGGCATTAGCTGGTTGGTTAGGTACTAAATATGTACCCAGTGGTCAAGGTATAAGTATAGGTATGTATAACGTTGCGGTCATAAATATTATTGCAGAATATTAAGATCTTTATATCAATAAACCCGAAAACCGCCGCGCACGGACAGCTTAGGCCGTGCCACAGTCGACGACTAGAATAGTACCTGTTTCTAAAATTCCTTTGTGTAATTTTTTTCTATATCTATATGCATCGAGTTAAGTCGTTAACAACATTGGTTTTTCTTTCTCTATAAAGGAGAGCATGCAAAATTAAGGGTTTGGGAACCGTTATTCAAACGAGAAAATGTTACATATTTTTATATATTTTAAGTCGTAGAATTCGAAAGTGAAAATGGGAGTTTTTACGATTTCACGTTTTTTCCAATTTTTTTTAATTTCCCACGTTTTCCCCGCTAGTATTCTAATTTTTATGATTATTTTCGAATTCTACGCTATTAAAATATATAAAAATATGTAACATTTTCTCGTTTGAGTAACAGTTCTCAAATCTCCAACTTTGCATATCCCTCTTTATCCCTATATATGAAATACTTCCCTGTGAACCTAATCTAATATATTCATATATTTTATTCTCACTGTTAATAATAATTCGTATATTTCCAACTTACTAACCTTAACCGCGAGAAATCAGAAAAAAATATATTTAGAAATATGTAATTATATTAAACCTTAATAAAGCCCACTGTTTGCATATGTAATTATAATATAATGAATGTGCGAATGTGAGAATTTGCACTTCGTGATCTTTTATCTTATTCATACTTTATTTCAGGAACAATTAACGTATTTGTTCACGCAATAATGTACATCTACTATCTGCTGACATCCATGAATATAAACGTAACATCGTGGAAGAAATACCTTACTCAGCTGCAGTTAATTCAGTTCTGTCTGTGCTTTTTGTTTTTTTCCCGATCACTGTGGCTGGATTGTGATTATCCAATGGTAATAACGATATTTATGATACCGCAGTATCTTTTTATGATAATGTTATTTGGAGAATTTTATTACGATACATATGTCAGCAAGAAGCCGGCAAGTGCAGCGGCATCGACGAAAACGGAAGAGAATGACAATCTGCGCGGAAATTGTCTCGAATAGTAAATTAAAAGTGCAATAAATTTGCGTAGATTATCTTCCATTCGACTTTGCTTTATTTTTATCTTAATGTATTAGAATACTGCAAAATTAAAGATTAATGGTGAACTCACGTGAGAACTCATGATGAAGTATCTTACAAACGTTTTGTTTCTCATATTACGTTCCTCCTGTACACATGTCCTACCATTTTGACTCACTTATTTCAGTTAGTCGCGTACAAACATCCAGGTTTTCAGTTTTATTATTCAACCGATCAGAATGTTGGGCCGAGCGACAATGATCACGGCTATAATGGCGTATTGAAGAGCCGCTGTGCTGTGCGGCCTACTTCTTTTTTAAGCGGCCGTCCTAAACGGGGACAGCTAAAAGGAAAACGAAGAAGGCGGAAAGGAGCGCATAGCTATAGTGAGTCCCGCTTTTGTTGCAAAGGTGCCGTCGCAGGTGCCGTTATGTGTGTAAACCTGTACGATCTTTCGCTCGTGAAGGTCATTGAGATGTCGATTTGCATAACAGCACGGCTACGCAAAAGACGGAAGTACGAGTAAATGCGTAATATTTTATTAATAGTAACTTCAATGCAATAAATATATACTACCGAGGAGGAGAAAATGGGTCAATACGTATCAGTATGTACAGGCGTTGTAGTGCATACAATCTAAGGAACAATTAATATATCATTCTTTCAAGTGAAACAGGTTTCAACGGGTTCATAATACCCGACGTAGATCGATCATTGCGAATAATTAATATTACTGGCTCACAATGAAACTTTTTATATTATTGTTAACTTTTCGAGTGCACTATAGAAATCTGCACTATCGATTTCTTCCAAAAGTGATTTTTTCGAAATACAATCAAATGTAAAAGTTTTTCACTTTTTTATTACTTTCTTATCGGTTTTTACACCATCATCACCGTCAAACTGCTGATCTTCTATTCTTATTTCTTAAAAGAAATAAAAAATTTAAATTGATCAATTCGGAGTTATAAATTGACAAAAATCATTGGTGCAAATTTGCATCTGTGTGCTTGTGATGTCTTCCGACAGACGTGTGCACTCGAAAAGTTAATATACTAAATATGTATTCGCGACTTGCTTAATTATTAATGAGCCTTACTTAATTATTAATGTAACCACTCATCCCCTCTTATTATTAAATTTTATTTCTATATAAAGCAAAGAATGAATTATTCGCAACGATTAATTTCTACATCGACTTGCATAAACTATTTAAAACATTTTATTTAACTAGAAATTTACAAAAACCTTAATAAGTAATAATACCTTAATAAAAATAAATAATAAAGTAAGTAATAATCATAATAATATTTTATTTGGTGTTTAGCTCATAAATAGTATATAGTACTAAAGTAATTTTTTAGTTATTTTATATAATGTTTAATGTATAAGGTTCTATATAATAAATTTCTTTAAATAGCTTAGTTATATATCAAAAAGACTAAAAGGCTTTACAGCTGATATTATATAATATCAGCAAAAACTGCAAAAAAAAATATACAATATTTCATGTCAAGGATAAATGGAGCAAGTTGAAATAATTTAACCTTTAGTAATGAACAAATAAAATCGATTAAGCACATGAAACGTAAACGTTTGGTCGTATATATATGTATGAAATATAACAATATCTTAATGAATGTCCGATGGTGTATAATTTGATGAACGGAAAACTTCAAAGAAAGAGGCAAGACGAGTTTGATGAGATAATTGATTGTAATATTTAATTGCGCGGGGTATGGAAATGCAGCAGCAAATAATCACTCATACTATTTATTTCACACATAATCTGGTGAAGATGTTTTGGTTATAGCTCAGACATTAAAAGAACAAAACATGAAAGAACAAAACTTACTTAATGATTACCTTAGATTATACTTAAGAAAAATGATATATTAATTATTTTCTACATTGCACTACAACACAGACTGATTGGCACTTTCTCTTTTATTGATAACACTAATATAATATTTTTGCCGCGATGGATTAGAACTCGAAACGTATCAATGAAGATAATCAATAAACGTCGTGCCGAATATCGTGTTACGATATCATTTATTCGCGTATGAAATATAAAATACGACCGATTATGCGATTGGCAAAAATTGCAAGCATCGTATAAAGAAAGTCAGTTACACGAGATATAACATATGCCTGTGTGTCAAATATCGCATTCGTCGCTGCGTTAAATATATATGTCTAGTTATCTCACGTTATCTCGTGTTCTATGGAGATACGCTTCCGTCTAAATTGACCTACTTTATTTCGACTGAGTTGGGCGTTTTTATTTCGCTATTTTTAGTTTCGTTCGGCGCCTCGATCGAATTCACTGCAACCCCTTCGAAGATACCCAGATCGCTAAACACGCTGGAGAGAGCACATAATCCTACTTCTCCACGACGAATCGTTAGCTTACTTTCGAGCTAAGAACGATAGTAAGCGGCGTACGAACATTCAAAGTCGATTTTGCTCGTAACATCTTCGGCTCCTCATTGGCACAGCTGTCGTCTCGATCTCGGTCGTGCTGTAATTATTTTACATAACGGCAACGATACAAGCCCAGAGCGAGCATCTAGTCTCCGTTCCCCGCATACCGGTCATCGATTTGAGTGCGTGGCGCGTCTGGTTTCTAAAGTGCTATTAAGTTTACTATGTCATTGAGATCATTTTAATGCGCAATGACGATTTTTTCGCAGCGCTTTACGATCATCTCCCGTTAACAAGCAGCAGTTTATATATCCGCATTACCCGCAATCTTAACCGGGATATCGTCGATAGTTATCGAGACACTCCGGGCTTTCATCATCGGAGCACTTATGATTCATTCACACGCAGTCCATAGCATAATTTGTCTAATAGAATCTACCTGGTCAGTCAAAGTCTTTTCCCATGAGTACCAAACTCGACACAAACGCCCATAAGCACTAAACTTCATATAAATGAAACATTTATCAAATATATATT